ACTATATATACTTAAATAATTTTTTTTAATCAAAACAGGTGGATGCCATAGTAAATTGGTCAACTCCTTATTCTCTTTTTTATATTCGTATTTTACATGGATTGGCTAATTTTTACAAAAAAATTATAAAAAGATTCAGTATTATTATGACGCCAATCACTGATGTATTGAAGCAGGCTAAATTCTCATGGTCAACCAAGCAGCAAAATAGTTTTGAAGCTATCAAAATAGTGTTATCTACAACACCTATTTTATCTTTACCTGATTTCGATAAGTCATTCACAGTGGACACAGATGCTTCAACAATTGAAGTGGGCACAATGCTATCTCAAGACAACAAACCAGTGGAGTTTTTCAGCTAAAAATTGTGCCCGTCAAGGCAGAGGTGGACTGTTTATGAGCAGGAACTATAAGCTATTATTAGAGCCTTAAAATAATGGGAACACTGCCTACTACATCAGGATTTTATTCTTTGTAGTGATCACAAAGCCCTCCAATATATTAACACACAAAAGAACATTAATAGAATGCACGCTTGTTGAATTATATTTTTATAGAAGTTTGCTTTTGTGTTGAACATAAAAGTGGAACGCATAATCATGTTGCTGATGCATTGAGTCGTCAGGCTGCTCTCTTAACTCAATTGCAAATGAAATTTTCAGGGCTCGAGTGCTTGCAGGAACTTTATCCTGATAATGAATACTTTCATATCTATTGGTCTAAGTGTGTTAATAAAGAACTAGTGGTTGATTTCTCATATAGACATGGCTTTCTCTTTAAAGGCAACCTGCTATATGTACCGAAGTCTTCCTTGAGGCAACAAAATCATCAAGGAAGCTCACGCCGGAGGTTTATCAGGTCATATTAGTCGTGATAATACCACTGCCCAGCTACAAAAATGTTTCTTTTGGCTGCATTTGAGAAGAGATGTCACTAAATTTGTAGAAAGGTGCTATATTTATCAAAGTAACAAAGGTGGAGGGCAAAACACTGATTTGTATAAACCGTTTCCAGTACCAAAATAAATTAGGGAAGACTTAAATTTTGACTTTGTATTGGGTCTACCTCAGACAAAACATGGCAATGATTCCATAATGGTGGCGGTGGACCAGTTTTCAAAAATGGCATATTTCGTCGCCGGTAAGAAGACATTTGATGCCCTCAATATCGCAAAACTTTTTTTTTAAGAAGTTATTTATCTTCATGGTATTCCTAGAAGCCACACCTCGGATTGAGATGTCAAGTTTATAAGACACTTTTGGAGAGGACTTTGGAAACTGGTACATACACAAATTTAGTTAAGCTCCTTATATCAGCCACAAACAGATAGGAAAATAGAAGTAGTCAACCGAACACTTGGTAATCTACTTCGGTGTTTAGTGCAAGAGCATCATAAGCTGTGGGACGAGGTACTCGGTCAAGCAAAATTCTTCTTCAACTCCATGCCAAATCGTTCCATCGGTATGTGTCCTTTCAACATTATTTACACTTAAATGCCAAACACAATCCTTGATATTGTATCACTACAAAAATGCAAGAATAAAGCATCCTCCAGGCTCGTCGATCAGTTCACAAAACTACTCTCTAATGTTCGATTGAAGCTTCATGAGTCCAACAATCAATACAAACTCGTAGCAGATGTGAAAGAACCACAGAAAAGAAGAGAGAGTAGAAACGAACAAGACATGGAAGAGGAAATAATGGAAAAGTATATTATTAGGCAAGGTACATAGACATATATATATATAGTTTCAGAGAAACAGAACATAGATATAATTACAATAAAGCCTAGTTATGACAGATATGTTTACAACCTCTAAGAGCCCCCCGCAAAGTGAGCATTCGATGGCCAAATGGTCAGTTTGTGACGAAGCTGTTCAAAGAGATTTGTTGGTAGAGGCTTTGTAAGGACATCGACGATCTGTTTTCCAGAGCTGACATGGTGGACGGTGATGGAGCTGGAGTCTATATGTTGTCGAATAAAGTGATAGTCGATCTCAATGTGTTTGGTACGTGCGTGAAAGACTGGGTTATTGGCTAAAGAGATAGCTGAGGTATTATCACAGTAGATCTTGGTAGGAGAATGTTGAGGTATCTGGAGTTCTTTGGCCAGGCGGCGTAACCAAATAACTTCAATAGTTGCAGCGGCGAGCGCCCGATATTTCGCTTCGGTGGATGATCTGGCAACCGTCGCTTGCTTTTTGACTGTCCAGGAGACTAAGTTGTCTCCTAGGAATGTGTAGAAACCCGAAATTGATTTCCAGTCGGTATTGTCGGACGCCCAATCGGCATCGGTATACGTCGATAGTTGGAGATTGCCGAGCGTAAGAGGCAGACCATAATGAAGGGTGCCTTTGATGTACCGGAGCAAGCGTTTTAGAGACTTGAAGTGTTGCTCGGTTGGAGCATGCATATGCTGACATATGCGGTTGGTGGCGAACGCAATATCCGGACGAGTGACTGAGAGATATTGGAGTGATCCGGCTAACTTGTGGTAAAGCTTTGGATCGGAGAACGGAGGATCAGAATTTTCCGGATTTGCTTTTGATGGAATGGCCGGTGTCGGAGCCGTGCTGCATTCTGCGAGGTTGGACTTAAGCAGGAGCTGTTGGGCATAATGACTTTGGTCCAGGAAGTAGCCGATTTTGTTCTTTGTGATTTGAATGCCAAGGAAGAGGGAGACTTGGCCAAGCTGTTTGAGTGCAAAATGATTTTTGAGTAGATGAAGAAGAGATTGGATGGTGGGATGATCATTACCTGTTAAAAGAATATCATCTACATATATGAGAAAGAAAATTTGAGTGGCATTGCGAGTAAAGATTAAAAGCGAAGGATCGGAGCGACTAAACCGGAATCCAAATTGTTGAAGAAGAGTGATCAGCTTTTGGAACCATTGTCACGGTGCTTGCTTAAGCCCGTAGAGCGATTTCTGTAATTTGCAGACGTGGTTTGGGTTTTGCGAGCCGATGAAGCCCGGCAGTTGACTCATTCCGTTAAATCGCAATGCAGAAATGCATTTGAAATGTCTAGCTGACGAACGGGCCAATCGCGGTGTAGAGCAAGGGTGAGCAGGACGCGAATTGTTGTTATTTTTGCGACTGGGCTGAAGGTTTCGGAGTAACTGATGCCTTCTTGTTGATCGAATCCTTGAGCGACGAGTCGAGCCTTGTATCGATCAATTGTGCCATCCGGAGATGTCTTCGTTTTGAACATCCATTTGCATCCTAGTATTGGTGAAGCGAGAGGAGGTGGTACTAGTGTCCATGTGTTTTGTTGACGAAGAGCTTGTATTTCTTCAGACATTGCCAAGCACCAATGTTGTAGTTTCGAGGCCTGAACAAAGTTTGTTGGAATGTTGTTGTTGGAGATGGTGGCAGACAGATCAAAGATCTGCCTTGGTTTGTAGATCCCTGACTTTGCCTGTGTTTGCATCGGATGTAGAGGGGCGGGAGCCAGTGTTGCTGGGATGACCACAGGAGTAGTGGTGCTCATGACGGAGTTCTGCTGTGACAAAGTTGCTGGGGTTTGAGATGGCTGAGCTGAGCGGGTGCTTGATATGGCAGAGGAAATGTTCGTTTGATCCCTAACAAATGTTGGTGTGAGGAGATGCGGTGAGAGATGTGGACTGGAATTGTTATCCTGAGAAACAGTAGTGGCTGCAGATTGCGTAGAGTTAGTATAAGGGAATGTGGATTCATAGAATGTGACATGTCTGGATATGTGGATTTTATTGGTGTGAATGTTTAAGCATCTGTAGCCTTTATGTTGGGAAGAGTATCCCAAAAAGATGCAAGACTGGGAGCGAGGCGACAATTTGTCAGGAGCAGTCGGATGAAGCCACGGGAAGCAGAGACAGCCGAAGGTGCGGAGGTGAGTGTACGACTGGTCCTTGTTGTGGAGTAGCTGATACGGAGTGCTGCCAGATAGAGCATTCGAGGGAAGACGATTGATCAGATAATTGGCTGTTGATACCGCTTCAGCCCAGAAAGTCTTTGGTAGATTGGTAGTTTGAAGCAGAGCACGGGTAGTTTCAAGAAGATGTCAGTTTTTGCGTTCCGCGGGACCGTTCTGCTCGGGGGTGTAAGGACAACTGAGTTGGTGAGTAATGCCATGCGTGGAGAGAAAATTTTTAAATTGGGTGCTGTTGAACTCTCCACCACTGTCGGACCTTAGAATCTTGGGTGTAGTATTAAACAGGTTCTTGATCATAGCATAGAAGTGAGTGAATTTTGAGTAAGTTTCATTTTTGGAGTGCAGTAAATATAACCAGCTAAATCTTGTAAAATCATCAATAAAAATAACATAGTAATTAGATCCGTTAAGAGAAGCTTGCGGTGCTGGACCCCAAATATCGGTATGAATTAAGTAAAAGGCATGCGGAAAATCAGTTTTTCGTTTATTAAACGCTAGCTTATGGCTCTTGGCCAAGTTACAGGAGGTGCACAGAAAATTAGAAGAAACATAAACAAGATCAGGTAAAAATTTCCGGAGATTTTGGATGATGCCATGGTTCGGGTGACCAGGCATTCATGCCAGCGTTGGACGGATCCTGCAGCAGCCATGTGGGTTTGCGGTCTGTTGATGGAGAGGTCCCTAAGTGTGTAGAGACCATTATGCAGCCGACCATGAAGAAGAGGACGGTGGTCCTGAACATCCTTAACCACAAATCCATTAGCATCGAAGCAGATTGAGACATTATTGTCAGTGGTAAGTTTAGAAATAGAAATTAAGTTGTGAGTTAGATTCGGAACATGAAGAAGATTGCGTAAGCGAAGCTTACGAGCCGAATCGGGTAGAGGAAGTAGACCTTGTCCGGAGTTGTGTATCGGCAGTGAAGAACCGTTTGCTACAGACATAGAGTCCAGTCCTTGATATGCCGAGCTAGTCTGAAGGTTGTTGATATCTGGGGTTAGATGAGTTGAGGCCCCGGAATCAAGAATACAGTCGTTGGTTTCAGATGGAGTTTGTTGGGTTATGTAGGCATGAGAGTTGACGGACGGCCTTGTCGGAGCATAATTGAGATTGCACCTGTGCCCGCAATTTAGAGCGATATGACCGGGCTTACCACATATTTGGCAAGAAGGCCGATCCGACTGAGTGGAGCTAAAGGCCTGCCGGTTTGGAGTGGGATTGGTGCTGTGGTTTGCATAGCCCCGATTCTTGTTGAATCGTGGATTGTTCTTGCCACGAGTATGCTGGGCGGTCTGAACGTAGAGAGTGGTGTTGTCCGGTGAGTCTTTTTGAGTTTCTTGTTGAACATTATTCTCCTTAT